TTCAACTCTACCGTATTTGAAATTAAACGAATTCTTGGTCGTTAGTTTTCCTGTTGCAACTGGAGGCAAGATCTGCGCACCGGACGCTCTTCGAGAACATTCCCACGTGCCGATAATACCCGTGCAACTGGAATGACAGCATGGCATTAAATTCGCTAATTCTTGAAAATCAAAAACAATATTGACATATACCGTTGCTGCTTTTTTTTACAGGGAGTAATGATGTTAAGCTCAATAAAAAGGTATGAAAGGTCATCAATTCGTTGGTAAATAGACATGCTCCTTATTATTTTCCAAATGGACTTACCTTTTGCTTAGATCCAAAACCTCGTTCAGGATACCCTCGTGATACTTCGACTCAAGAAGCTCCGGCGATATTACCAAGAGGCCATTTTCAAGGCGTACTGTTCCATCTGCTAAATATACATTGAATGGGAAGTCCTGAAAAAAATCACAAAATCATGTACAAAGATTTGCATTTCTATCAATATTGTTGTGTTCCCGTATCAATGTACACTAGAGCTATTGATAAAATCTTCTTTATTGGTTTATAAACACATAAACTATTTACAATAATTAGTCAAATTGAATTGTTAAAATTTGCACTTGCACTCTTATTCGCGCCTAAAATCGTCGTTGTTTTTTTTTTAATCCGAATTATGTCTAATGCTTTCTTGACGGCCAGTACGTTATTAAACATTCATCCATCTCTTTTTTGCAACTTTAACGATTACAATATTGTAGTTAACTTTTTTATAAAACAATATGTTTTTATTTAATAAAATAATATTTGATCTAAATATGCTTTTACTTTAATTCATTGCAAAATATATTTACAACTGTTGTCAGCGCCATCTATTATCAACTATTGCTCAACCCAATGAGTTGAATTTAAAACATCAATTATTTCAGCTATGTTTACAAAAAATTACGTTAATTTTTAACATTTTAATAACATTTAAGTTCTAATTAACAGTTAAACAAAAAAATAACTACCGGTCCTTGCGGAAACATGACTTCAGCCGTCCAATTGGATAATTGACTTATATTCTCGTCGACGAATTCTTCGCTGAATAGTAAATCGCCTTTGCATATACTTGTGCGTCCTAACACAGCTGTTGGTGACTGGTTGCATGTTGTAGCCGCTGTTGTCTC